CTTTTTTTTTTTTTTTTAAGCACTTTGAGCCCTTTGAGCGCAGGGGGGGGAAGGATTAACCGCGCGCTCATACGGTTTCATAGGCACGAAGCTCATCATAGGCACGAAGCTCATCATAGGCACGAAGCTCAGCACCAGCCATGGTCGTCGTTTGTCATGGATCGCCAAACCACTCTAGATGCAGCTGAGCCGCTGAGTGTGGCACTGGCAACGAGAAGAGGGAGGGGCTTAGCCTCTCGTGCATGACCCTGCTTCGCCGAGCTGGTACAGCGCTCTTGGAGAAACCACTTCCTTGGACCACCAGGGGAAAAAGGGGGAGTGATGGAGCTCAGAGAGGAAAAGAAGAGTCACATAAAGATCTTGCTACAACCGCATGAGCGTCAAGTGGCGCTAACGTCCTTCTATGAAGGAATAAAAGGATGGATAGTCTACCATCATATGTAAGTGCATACATATTATATGAGAAAACTCGGGTGGGGTCATGGTTTGAGTATCTAAATGCATTTCAAAATGCAGTTTTTAATTCCAGTCCCATACGCAGTCTAAACTCTGCTTTGCAGAAAAGTCGCACTGCGGAGTTTGAAAAAAAGGCCCGGCCGAGATGTCTCAGCCACACTCCAGATTGGCTAGGGCAGAGATGTCTCAGCCACGGCCAATATTTTTTTTTTTGGGGGGGGAAACAAAAACAAAACAAACAAAAACGGTGGCGTGCGACCCATGGCCACCTGCCTGACTGAACTGCAGTTACAAACTCCGCCATGCGACTTTTCTGCAAAGCGGAGTTTCGACTGCATAGTAAACTTCCTCCGGGACTGGAATTAAGAAACGCAGTTTGAACTTTGAAATGCATTTAGAAACTGCTTTCGTGACTGCACCCTACGGTCTTCCCCCGAACATAACGCACCCTAAAAATGAATGTATACAAGCTATATTTCCGGCCAGATGCAGCCAAAATGAGGGTGCTTTGTGTTTGGGGGAAGACGGTAGTTACCATCTTCTGCATCCCATACAACATACAAGTATATGGGCCTTGCTCCACTACTCGAATGTGCAAAACGAGAGTGAATCTTCTGCTAGAACATGGAAAGATGCACGGCCAAATTTTTTGTCTTTTGTGCACGTGGAGAGTAGTGCTGCGAGGCCCTATACTTACAAATTACAATGTTCCGTCTAATGGTGCAAGTTCCGTGCAACCATTGGCACATCATTCTGACAGAACATTCAACTGAGGCTGAGCTCCTCAGTTGGCAGATGGAAAGCTGTCGTACTGGGTTTGTCAGTGACCTTTCCATAGGCCAGCTGAGGTAGCATTGACAAGAATCACAAGATTTTTCCACGTAGTGATCATATAGGATGTTGATGTATGTGTCTCAATAACCACTTTCGCTCCACTGTCTCCCGCAGCTTAATCGGAGGAAAGATCGTGGGGGTTTTGGGCGGGTGTGTTTTAGGCTTTTAGCGGACTTGGGGTTGTGCACTGCTATTGTTCTGAAGGAGGCCGAATGGTCACTGGTGAACTTCTATTTACAATGACGAAGAGTTGAACGTGTGGTGTGATATGATATTATCTTCGAGCGATATCGGATGTTGACGTATGTGTCTCAGACTGAATGATACCTTTCCATAGGCCAGGTAGCATTGATGATTTAATTTACTCCAGTTAATAGTGCGATTGACTTCTTGGATCCTACGATAGACCTTCGTCATCAGAATGAAAACTTTAAATTAAATATCGGGAGTCGTATTCAAAGTTCAAACTAGAAAACACAATTGCCGTACTATACAATGTATACATTTATCAATTATTTTACTTGCAGGAAGGGCCTGATAGCAAGTTAAGACTGGATTCTATACACATAGTTCAAATCAGTGCCGTACCCCCGTTCACCGTTCACGGGGTCTGTGAACGGAGCCGGTCATAGAGTTCACAGAGTTCACGTTCACGGGAGTTCATGGAGTTCACGGAGAGCGGTATGTTTTTTGTTTTTTTTTTTTTGGCTGGGGGGGTATTTTTTTTTTAAAGGAGGGTGGGGGACATCGAAAGGTAACTCCCCATAATTTTTTCAAAATTTTTTTTTCACGAATAGTATTTTTTAAATTAAAAACGAAAAAAAAAAATCAACCAGCCAAAATAAGCATTTTCTTTTGCTATTTTGTAGGTCATTTCGATTTTTTATTTTTTTTTCAATGTCACCAAGCTGTGGGGCTTGAGGAGAATGTACCCGGGGGAGCCCAAAAAAAAAAAAAAAAAACAACACCACTCTTTAGTGGTCGGCCCGTTCACCGTGAACGGCCGTTCACAAAAAAAACACCAAATGAACGGCCGGTCACGTTCAAGTGACCGGTGCCGGTCATGTTCACGTGTCCGGCACTGGTTCAAATCCATGGGCAGGAATGGAAGAATGAATGACAGTTA